GATAGACACTAAGACTCTAGAAAAAGTGTAAAATAGTATTTTAGAAAAAGTCAATAGAATGTCTCATTGTTTAAATAGAACTACTCTAGCACGTTTTACAGCGGAAGAAAAGAAAAGAAAATTGCATAGCTAAATATTCAAAAGGAAAGAGAGAATAAATAAAAATAAATAAATCAAGTTGCCTTGGTGCACCGTGTCCAGTAATGAAATGGCCACACCTGTGAACATCAGAGGGGAGTGACATGAAAAGTACTGATTTTTTCGTTTTACATTTTTTGTAAGCTATCAGTAATTCAAAGTATCAACACTTTCTGTTTTTGGCTTAAAGACACATTATTAGATGTAGTTTTATCTGGTGATCACGAATTTCGGCCTTATTTTTTTTACTTGAGCAAGTTTTCCCGGTGAAAAATGCAAAATAGAGCTGGGAGGCGTCTCATTTTGATCAGACATTTGCAGGCTAAAATTATGCTATATTAAGAAATGTTTTAGTTATATTTCAGAGTTTCTGAAAGGCTGGTTTTACCGAAAAACCGGAAAAAAATTAAAGTTAGAAAGATTAAAATTTTACAATATAGAAATTTTCTAACTATTTATTCGGTCATTGCCAAGCGTTTATCTTGTACAGAATGTTATACTAAAGTAAAAAAACGAAATGCATTGCGAGATTTACGCATTCCTTTCTCTTCTTTTCTTACATGCGACAAAATTGAAATACATAAAGTTAATTTTCTCCTTTTTCTTTACAAAAGCGAAGGTAAAAAGTGGTATGTAAGGATTGTTTGAAGATTGTTTGATTTTATGGTAATCAATTCATGGATACTATGGAATCATACTGGTAAATATAGAAATAGCGATGCAAAAATTGCTGCTACTAATAACTGGCGTCGTGATAGACTTTTTCGGTTCACAGCTGAAATTGCTAGAGTCCTCCTTTATCGACCAAATCTTCATTCAACACCACTCAGTATTCATATAGTTAAAACTATACGTTCACCATCATCACATAACTCAGATGACAATAAGGATAAATATAAACTACCAAAAAAGAACTTGCGTGAAAGTTCGTCGCTTGTGTCACCTGTTTTACGTTATGATAAAACAAATCATTTATCATAATTCGTATCAGCATCTAATGCAACTCGTTGTAAAAATGAAACATGTACTAAAAAATCACGTTCGATCTGCACAAAATATCAAGTGCATTTATGTATAATGCCACAAAAAAATTGCTTCTCTGATTATCATGTGCAGCATTAATTATCATTTGACGTTTTAGCAAAACCCATTTTTTTGGTTACACTTTCTCACGTTGTTTTATACATACAATTATTGAAATAAACAAATAAGTGGTTTTGCCACGCAAAAACAGGTTCGGACAACACAGAGGAAAAAAATCGCTTTTTTCATGTCGTTCCCCCCCTAATGTCCACGCCTGTGGACATTCTATATTCTGCCACTTAGGCAACTTCATTTTATTTTAAGTATGGAATGGGCATGGTGAGCACTCAAAAGCTCCATCGAAAAAATCCCCTTGTGGGGTAAAGGGTTAATGTCAATTTTTCACTACTGTTTTATCAAGTTCAATGTGTTTTTTCAGCTACCGGAGTAAACCATCAAAACGAAAACATAGAGATAAGAGTAAAGCATAACATCGTTGAAGAAACGGTACGCTTTTATCCGCTAATTAAATCAAAATTAACAGTTAAAACCAAAAGAACTAAACCTCATTCATAAACTAATTAGTCAACGACAGAACTGTTCTTGAAAAGCTGACATTGGCTTAAATATAAAAATTTTGCCAAGTAACAGAAACCTGTGCACGTTTACTTCAGTATGTAGATCGTGCATAAAATAAGTGCATATTTTATTATTTAATTGTCAAATTTTCTCTTATGTCAATGCAGTCTGCGTGATTTTTTCTTAACGATTGTTTGTTTTGGAAGGAAGTGATAAGTCATCACTTCGCAGGAAAATTTGTGTTGATTAAACCAGTCTTATTGACTTAATTGTAAGTTGAAATGACACAAAAGGAAAGAGGCTTTCATGAAGAAAAAAACGAAACGGCTGTGCAATAATACGCAATGATTTTCAAATATATTCGTTCTTCTATGTTTTAAGTTTTTTCTAGTCTATACTGACATTTTTTCATGAAACAGCATTCAATTTACGAAAGGTTCTAACGGCGGAATTTTTTTCCTTTCTCGTTAATTCTGCTGATTGTGGTGGTATGAGGCCTTTCATGAACTGAATGCTGCTTCATGAAAAAATGTACACGGAAGTACTTGGATTTAGAGATTTTGGTTTTCTAATACCCTGGTTTCAGAAGTTTCTATGGAACATTTATATACATCTCATCAGATTAAAATCAGTCCATATTTAATGTCCATATTTATACATATTAATTGAATATCATGTCCATATTTATACATATTAATTGAATATCATGTCCATATTTACCAAATATGCTCGATGTAGCCGAGAAACAGAAAATGACGAGTGTGACAAAGAACATTTATTATATTTAGTATGTATAGAGAACTAATGCAAAGAGGTATATTATGACAATTTTCTGGTTTATTTTTCTGTGTTTTCGATTAGAGTGAACACAAGAGAGCACGAAAATATGACTATTTAATGTAGCACGCAGACCTACGGCTATCGCGTTGTGATGAGATAAATTTATAGCGTTGTAATACCACAATTTAAGAAAAAGCATATTTTATAGCTCTATAAACAGGAAAAAAAGCCCATGGGGAGAAACAAGCTTCGACAATATTTTGAAAATCTTCAGGATGAGTCTCCACATTTCCACTCGCATGAGTTTGTGAAAGAGGGAAGGGTCTTTTGGGAATGAACAAGCGATACTAATTTGACGATGCTATTTCGATCTGGGAATAATGGATCAATTACCTAAAAAAGAATTGAAAACCCGTATGTAAACAACTAATGATTTACCAAAAGTTTCCATAAATCGATGAATGTTTTTTTTCCGAAAAGATAACAAGACTAATCTTACATGTTCAGTTATTAACGCTTTAACAAATTTTCTTGGATGTTGATCGATTAACTCTGTAAATATGAGTCCTTTTTCAATGGCAATACTACTTGGTAATGTTTCATTTTTAATGGTATTACTATAAATCCTTTAGTGTGATTAATAATTTCTTAGTCAATAGCTTGTCCAATAGATATTGCTTTTTTGGTTCTTGGATGTATAGTACTTTTCAATATATAAGTTTTTGTTTCTTTTATTGTTCCACATTTATGTAACGACGATGTTGATTGAGTGTCACCTGCTGATGATACACCATCCAATATAACATTATCATTATTAACAACGGGTAAAGGCTGTGCAGAAATGTGGCCAAATAAAATAACTTTACTTATTGAAAATATTTCACCCGTTAATTTATTTATACAGTTCAATTTATTTTGAAACGATTTTCGTGCAGTTTTTCTTTTGTTTCAGAAAAAAAATTCCTTACTATACCAAACAATAGACAATTTAATTATCTACAAGATTGTATATACATTTTTAAGATTCATCTTTGATGTTTGGCACAGTAAGTCTAACAGGAAAAGCTCCACATTTTTTAACTGCACCACGTAGTTTTAAAGTGCAAACTGTTCTCTTTATTTAATTGCTTGTAGTGAGTACAAAAGGGTCTGAAATAATTTTATTACAGTCAAATGGTGAAGAATTTCATACTTTACAAAAGTGTTTGCTTGAAGGAACTTTATTTCAATTTTTAGTGGCTTTAATACATAAACTTCCAAGTCCACCGAAGTTTCTAGCACTAAAGCAAAAAGTTTTGACTATTTCAGTGCATACTTATATGCTAAATCCGTTTTTTAAATTTAAATGCCAATATTCTCGGAATCTACAAATTACATTCGCTTTGCTGCAACTGCTGTCTTATTATGGTATGTATTAGTGCCATTTTCGCTCACTTTTGATAAAGTATAACATTACACTTAGTTTATGTTCTTAGCAAAAGAATGATGAGGATGAATAGTCTAACTGACATAATAACTATTTTCAAAATCGTGACAAAGTGGTTATAATTATTTGTCTAAGTATTTCCTTATACTGAAGAAATTCGATCATATTAGTTTCTGTGTCATTCAGAGATTTACGCATTTCTTGGAAGCTATATGTGAGAAACTAGGTCACACATTTCTTACGTTTTTTGCTTTCAAAGACAGAAATACATTTCGTTAAATACAGTACCTTGCTGAATTACACTTTTATTATCTCCGGTTTAGTTTTAATAGTTTTCTCTCGCTACTAAGGTCCCCTTCTACGAGTAACAATCGAATACTTTTATATTGATCTATTTATAATCTCTTTCTAGATGATCCGGACTAAGGCTTTCTTTAACTATTGCCAATAAAACTCAACTATTACCTCAGTTTCACACACTTTCATCTATGCTATTCCGTAACTGTGTGCACGTCTTTCGAGAAGTCGGCCGAATACTATTCTACGAGTAAATTATTAATAGAGGTGCTGCGGATTTGTTAGTGAACTAAATGGTGATTAGAACGTTAACGAATTTTCTAAATCGTTCAGGAAAAGTGATCTCCAAATATCAGAAAATAAAACCGTTATTGCACAAGTGTTCACTATATTCCTTCACTTGTCGACACTTCACACGTTATTTGACCTAGACCGAAAAAAAACAAATTTATCTTGTTTTATTTTATCAGTATTATTTACATGATATTTTCAAATAAAACATACATTTTTCGGCGAATTACAAAGTAAAGAGAAATAAACTTGACTTTCCTTGTCTTCTTACTTAAGAAATATAGAAAGAAAAGATTAGTGTTGATAACAACGTTTGTTTTTCAACTGGAGTCAGAATGAAAGTAGTTGTTTTAAGACTTTAACAATAAAGATAAATCCTTCCGTCAAACCCTCAATATATAAATATATTTATATACTCTTCTGAGAAAACAGATTTGTTTATTCAAAAGAAAACAACACGTTACTGATGTTTCCATTTTCGGTTACTATTATTTTTTTTCTAACGTTGTTGCTTTTAAATACTGCAAGTGTTACGATTAATTCAAAAGCTGAAATCTATGAAAAAGTTGGTCAATATCTACGAGAACAAGAACAGTTAACGAAACAACAACAGCAAATTGAATTAGAAAATTCCAATAAAATTGGACTTGGATTTAATCCAGTCCTTGGGACTCCCGTCTGTTACACCGGTACATGTCAGATGGAAGGATTCGGACATCCAGTCTTCAAACTGATTTATGAATCAAATTCACATGGTTCTTGTACCACTAAACTCATACCAAAATATGTCCTGCTGGACTGTTTACCAGGATCCGCTACAAGTGCTAGTAGCGAAGTTATTCAGACATTGGAACAACTGTCCGAAAGTATTTCAGACAAAATTGAAATTGGAATTGGTGCTAGCTACAAAGCGTTTTCATTTGGTTATAAAACTTCAAAAGAGACAAGTTATATGGTGTAATACATAAAGGAGGTTGGGTAAAAGCTTATAGACGAAGTCGATAGCCCTAGGAAAAACGAAAAATGATATTTTTTAGATCGGAATAACAGGTCAAGTACTTCAGCACATACCTTTCTATCTTTTTGCCATTGCAAGTGGTTTCCAAGTGTGGAAAAAATAGAAAAGGAGGTTATTTTGTTGATAATCAGAGGAAACAAACACTTCTAGTCAAACGGAATGTGGACTCATCAGGACCGACAAAACAATTTCTCTTTCTACACTTAGAGTTTTCTAAGGTCGGATTTCAATATAGGAAAGAGACGAAATTTTCATATAAGCTGTATCTGTTGAGGACAGATCAATGCTATAGCCCAAAAGAGCTGAAGCACTTCTGATCCGAATTTATAGATTTTGCAAAATCCTTGGTTTTTGCCTTACGAATGAAAATTTATATCAAAAACCAACTGTATATTCATAATCTAAGCGAAAAGGTGTGTCTCGCATGGTGCATAACTCATCCTTGTTTGTAAGTGAGTCTTTGAATTTAGTAGATTTCTTAGTTTCGTCGTGTTCGGAGCCGTATATAGGGCCTTCTAACTTCTATTCGCTCCAAAAAGCAATGCGAGTGGTCATATTTTGAATAAATTTTTAAACAAAAGAGCTACAGATCCGCGATTTACAGTATTGGGTAGCCAAGACCTGACTATACAGACGAACAGAAAATTTCCGACTCGAGCAATATTTGCAGATGGTAATGGTAAGCCACATCAGTCTTTCAAAGAGCAGGTTACCAGAGAGCCAAAAAAACATCATTTTTAAAATTTAAATAATTAAACGGATAGTTTGGAAGTTGATTTACAATCCTACACAACTCCCAGGTCTCTAGCTCTTCCGGTTGCGGAGTTATGCGCAATCTTCGTAACGGTAGCTATCTCGGTCCGAACATCTCTGACAACTTCAAAAACACATGCTACATAGGTAATCGATCATGCTGATGATCGCGGTCATGTTTATTTCATCTCATAGTCAAGCGGAATCTAGCAGATGAAATTTCTCGAAAATCCGATTTGTTCCTGTAAGCATGTGAAAATTCGGTTGTTGGAAAAATTCCATCTACTGGATTCCGGTTGACTCTGAGATGAAATAAACATTGCTACGATCATCAGCATGGTCGATTACCTATGTAGCATGGTTTTTCATAAAGGTCTCGAAATAGTCTTGGAGTTTCACTGAGGTTTTTAAGAGGTCTTCTAATAACTGAATTTATGAAAAACCCACTTAGAAAACCATTTTAAAATTTTAAAATCCTTTCCTTGAAAAAAGCACACAAAAGAACGTAGAAAAGTGGTTTGGATACTTTCGTACCACACATCAAGCGCACTTATACAAAATTATTCACTGTGCAGAGTGACAGAGATATTTTCTTGTAGAAAAACTAACACTGTTAAACTGTGACAAATGTCATTTACCGAAGGCTGTAGACGGAAGGAAGTCAGATGAAAGCTGACAAAATGGTCAGGCTGTGGATCGAATGAAAAAAATGTCAGTTTTTTACCTGATGTCTTTTGTGTAGGACGTCATGGTTGATAACATCATAAAGAAAAATACGACTGTGATTTATACATCTTCACAAGTATCTTTTTTTAAATTATCAATGTTTGAACCACTAATGGAACTGAGTGATATGTTTAAATATGTCATTGATAATTTACCTTGCTGTGATGAGGATTGGGAAACTGAAAAATATATTCGTGATTATGTTTTTAGTTATTACGGTTATACTTTTGTGACAACTCTGATGCTCGGTGGCACTGCACAGCAGACTATAATGATGAAACATGATTCGATTAAAAAGCTTGAATCGCAGAGTATTTCCGTAAGGAATGAAGCAACAGTTTCATTCTTTGTTTCATTGAGTACCGCAGTTGAAAATTCAGAATCAAATACAAAGCGGCAAGAATTTCTCAGTGCAATTCAGGAAGAACACGGTACAAAATTGGGCGGTGACCCGGCTGTAAAGGACATTCATGAATGGGCAAAAACTGTTAAATCAAATCCTGTTATAATCAAATTTGGTATAAGAGAAATAGTTGATTTATTAACGAACGGTCGTTTTCCCAATGACATACAGATACAGAATAAATCAAAACTGATTAAAATTATGTTGCAGAAATATATTCAACAGCCATTGTACTGTTATAATAATTGTACAAATGCAGAACATGGTACATGTGAAGCAAGTGGCTATTTTCAATTTGGAATGTGTAAGTGTAATAAAAATTGGACAGGTATTGATTGCTCAGTTAATATTGCTCCCACAGGACCACCACCAGTTGTCTATGGAGACGTTCTCAGTGGTACATTGTGTGGTTATGATAGGTCCAAATTATATCAGTCATGTAACGGCCATCGTCCTTGGAATAGTTGTCCTCCAGGTTATGTTACACAAACATGGAAAGATTCTGATTTTACTACGTGCTATAAAACTGTTACAACAAAAAATAGCACAAATCTTCCTGGAGGACTATGTGGTTTATGGAATTCTGGAGGACAATATGCTGAGATTTCATGCAATCGTGCACCGCTTGGTATCTGTCCCGTATTGGGCTATGGTCTAAATAGCTTTACATCTAGTTTAAGCGGAGAAAATATGTTTTGTTATAAAACGAGTTCCATTTTTCTAGATCTCCTGGGTACACTTTGTGGTATACAGTGGAGACAAACAAATCACGGTCCGGCATGTGATGGCTACAATCCTGGTATGTCAGAGTGTCCTACTGGTTATGCACTGGAGCTTTGGACGTTGAAAAATGGTAAAACTTTTCATTTGTGTGCAAAACTTTGAACGCATTCACTACACTGATTGATCTGTTAATACTGAATTATTTAATTAAAACTTTAAGATTCTTTCTTAGATAATAAAATGAAAGTCTACAATGTAACGAACGCTTCTCTCCAACCGCACAGGAAAAATATAAGCAGAAAAAAGAAGTCTCCTATATTATTATAGAAATGTCCTAGACTCGTTCTTTTTTTTGTGTCGAGGAATACACGGTCTCAAACACATCCAAACAACCTGAGAAGAAAAGAGTTTTTCATTTAGACATCACAAAAGTAATCCTAATCTCTTAGTATGACCACTATTTCACTTAAACTTTTCTCCGTTATTCCTTACGATAGTTTTAATATTTTTGGTCTAAGTCTGCACCATTATACCGAAGTTCAACCGTAACTGTAAAGCTTCATTTGATTTCTGATCAAGCTGAGGCACCCACTTCAGTTTCCTTAAATAAAAGATTCACTTTTTCTCTTCCTTTTTTTAGCTTCTACAATTAAATATCCTTTATTCTTAGGAAAACGTAACTTATAAAGAATAGAATGAAAAAGGTAAAGTGCACACTGTACAAAGTTTTATATTCTTCTCTTCGAAATGGAAACGACAAAAAAAAGATTTCTATTTATGACTTCTTCGCTGAGAACAAATATTTCGGAATAAAAAAGACACTCTTTCTACAGTTCGTATGTTGTGCAATCACATTGCTTATATATCACTTGTATTAAAAAACTAAAAAGGCTTCGGTGCATTCTTAAGCTGTTAGATAAATTTATATGAAACATATTACGTTATACAAAAATAATGGCGCAAGAGCTGGCTCTGCTTTTGTGCATACCTAGCACTGCCGATGAAAACCTGCTAAAGCTGAAGTCTCTCTAAAAAACTGTGTGACACTTTAATACTCCCAAGCAAAAAATCATACGTGAAAATATCTAGATATTTTTTCGTTGTATTGGGCAATACTACTATGAAATATCTAGGTATAGGTGTCAGTTTTATTGGGTTATTTGGATATATTAGTCATGCTGTCTATTGCATCCCGATATCGTCTCGTATATTGGGATGCAACAAAAAAGCTGGTGTAGGGAACTACAATCCCCTATATATTGGCCTGTAACAGACCAATATATTGACTTATGTATCGATAGCATGAAGGACGTTCCATTCTTCAATATATTGGTCTGTTATCGTCCAATATATCGACTCATGTATTGACAGCATGAAGGATGCTGTCTATATTATATTGCATTCCCGGATGTCTGTATGCAGACATCCTGCTTTCTGTAATATATTGGTTTATTATTGCTAAAAATATCATTCTTATGTTCATATCTGTCTGTACTAAGCAGCTAGCTTAAATATATATCATTAGTTGCTTTTTCAAAGAAAATGGTAAGGTTAAAATGATTACCCGATAATTTATTTTCCATCATCTTTTGTTCTTTACATAACATTGGTACTCTTTCTTCGTTTAACTAAAAATGTCTCGAGCCAACTGTTTCTCCTACTCTACCTCAAAAACATATCTTGAAATCGTCTCAAACAATAGAAATCCTGAGATCTGTACAAAATTTTCCGCTAAAAAGTTGAGAGAGCAAAGGAAAAAATCACACTTCTAGATATTCAGACTACTGCGAAAGTTGGATATGTCTATAATTACCTTTTTGTCTGTCCACAAAATTTTAATTTAGCTGATTGGATCTATGGATGGCCCAATCAATTTGAGGAAGAAATCCATTCTCCAACAGCTAATTTCAATGAACTTAAGATACACGGAAAGCAGAGTTCGAGTGAAAAATAAATTCGGTGTTTTTGCACATCATTCGATAGAGAATCAAACGGCGATCGCGAATATCATTTCTCCGACTCCGAAAACCCTTGCCTCGCGAAGTTATGACCAAAATACTCGGAAGGACCAAAAAAGACCGTTTTCGATGTTTTTCTTAATCTGAAATTTTTAAGCTCGGCTTGGAGTTGCAGTATTCTAATACACATATTTCTGTTCAGCGTCGAAAACTGAACAAGAATATGGACTCAAAAAGATTTTATACCCAAACCCCTTTGCGGCAGGGACACCGAGAGAAATCGGCCAAAACGTCCCCGTTTTTGGAAACCTATCTTCTCTTTTCTGGAAGATCGTAGAGCCTCAATTCACGCTGCGTTCGATTCCCCGTGAGCTCCTCTTCAACTTAAAACACAGCTTTTTTTCGAAATTCCTTTTCCTCGCTGAGATAAATCATTTTTTCTAAATCACAGATGGAAAAGTCGAAAGTTTACCCGTAATTTCCAATTTTCTCGATCAGAACTCAACTTCTGAGCAATAAAAATATCATATTCGGGGTCAGAATCAAAGACTGAGTCGACTGGTATTTTTTTCAATTTTTTAGGTTGAAAAATTACCGAGATTTTCATCCAAAACTGAAAACCAACTAAACATTTCGAAATACACACCAGTGATATTGTCTGTCCACTACTTAAACATAAATTTGCTTTAAGGAGAAGCCCCCCTCCCTTCTCCCAAGCTTTCTGCATATTTGTTTATATTGTTTTGAGCGTTGTAAGGACTAAAAAATTCCCTAGATGACGACCTTCTACATAGTTCAATGAGTTTTGGGCATTCTTCGATTATTAACGAATTATATTCGTTTACGGATCGTTCTTACTTTACAGTCTTCCTAAAATTTCATTCAGTCGAGGTGTAAGTTTACGGTACATACTTGATACTCTTTTTCAGCTGTCGTTTTTCAAAACATTTTGGTTCGTTCGCAAACTGGAACAAAATTATACATTATCTCAAAAGAAAAGCCGGGTTTCGATTTTCAAGCATTTGTTGAAAACGTTAGCCGAGAAAAAGACAATTATAGTTACATGATAAAAAAATTTGGCTCGATCCGATCGATCATAACACACGTAAACATTTCGTAACCAGGGTTCTACAATGCACTGAAATAATCGTACTTATTCGAAAAGATCTTTGAGTTAGCCACAATAGTTCATTAATTAATGCAGAAAATAAATTTATACTTGAACTTTTGTGTCTGATAAATTATTAAGTTGGTTGAAAAAAGTGTAAATTTTGAAGACGCCAAAAAAGCTAGAAATAGAGTTGATTTCTTCAGAAATTTTCTTCTTCACAAGCTGGTAACCGTTTACAAAACGGCGTATTTGTTTTTGAGTTTATCTGCTATGTACAATTCAGAGATGTCAGAATTTCAGTACACAGTGTATTCTCAAAAAGATGATGAAAAATTCGAACTTTCATTCAAAGACAGTTCTACACTAGCGACTCCGAGCGTTGCACTCAGATGTACATTTCTAGATAAATTCAAGTACTATACCAAATCGAGTATCATACATTTGAATTGAATTTTTGCATAGAAACTTGATGATAGGAAAAATCGATCCAAAAATTTCTTGAAATGTCGATTTTCCAGAAAACTAGCATTTTTTAAGAGTCACACTGAAAAAAGTATTATAGTCAGTACCCCATTTGACGCGTAAGGAAGAGTTTTGTCAGCAGGTTTTTCAGCAAAGTTTTCCTCCATCGGGCTTCGCTGAGCCGCAGTCAGTGGCCAGGTTGTCAAAAAATACCACTATCCGTCCCAAAATATAAGATCGGCAGTTATTTTTTGAGCAACTCAAAGACGATAAAAGCTAGAGATCTGGGATTTTTGATAGTCGAAAGAGGACAGTTTAACCGATATTTTCATAAGGAGAAACGTTTTTGAACAAATTTCTGAAACCGGTTTTCTGGGGAAGCTTTTGGAAAACCACTTTCTAAGTCAAAAATTTTACATAGCATTCTATCAGCTTTTTTTATAGATAGATAGTCCAAGTTGATCTGTACAAAAGAAGATCTAAACAAAAGTTTCAGTTTGCTTGGTTCAGAAGCTTCCGACGTTTTTCCATGAGCCGTAGGACTTCCTTATTCTTCGTTCTGGGACCTTCGGAAATGCATGAAACTCAGCACTTAAACCATTAGAATATAAACATAGGCTATCGACCACGCTAAATCTCGTGGGGATGTTAGTTTTCAGACCAAAATATGAAAACGGAGTGAAAACTTGTACTAAGTGGAATAACCCATTTTTGGCTCTTTTCACGAACGCTTAAATTCCAAAATTATTCCATCTTATTGCTTTCCGATTTGAAATTCCAAATTATTGCAGAACGAAAATATTAAATTTACCCCGAAGTTAAAGATTTTTTGAAAAAGGAGACTCTTCGACCATTTTCAATTTTTCTCTGCGAAAAAGCGCACTAAAACGGTTTTAAAGGTCATATTCGTAATCCTCAGATTCAGAGCTATCGGAATATGTGTCTTTCTTTGTCTATTGTCGATTGTTAGTCATGTTTGTTTCTGAAATGGTTGTATGTCAAAATGAGTAAGTTTAACTTGTCTATTTGACTATCATTTTTTTCTCAATTATGATTAAAATTACAACAAAATAATTGCACATCTTTTAAGACACAATAAAATACGTTTCATTGCTTTTCATAAATTAGTTCTAAGTTGTTTAGTCAAGATCTGAAAGCAAGGTATTTTTTACAGTCTTTTCCACAGATAAGTTTTAATTACGCTTTAATTTCTCATCCTGTCGAAAGTTATGAAAAAATGAAAGAGAACATGCACTAGTTGACTAATTATATGCTAATCTAATTTTAACAACTTTATAATAAAGTCCATTCCGTAGTCAAACAACAATGCTATTAGATGGACAAGTATCTGAAGGTCAAAGACGTATAGATAGAAAAGCAATGTTTTATATTTCATAATGCATCAGAATTTTCAATTAACTAACTGTTACACATCAGAAGAATGGGTATTATTTTAATCTTCAAAGATTTACAGCGTCATCTAAACAATGGCGTAATCAGGATTTTTAGACTGCTGGGCTGTGTTCCGTAGAGTCGAAAAAGATCGGTGGGCCTAGATGGGCCGAACGGTGCCTGCTTGGGTAGGATATCTTTCCAACTGTTGCCGATTCTAATACCGTCATTTTCGGTGT